TCAGCTGATGACATGTTTTCGTATGCTTATAAGCTGACTTATAAGCTAAAAAATATGGCATTGTTCATGGTGATTTCCCTTCAAAGTACATTTTAGTAATGCATATGATCATGATTAACATTGCAAATATATATTTTAACTTTCAAAAATAAAAACATGAAATGAATTCTATTTTGGTATATATGTTTAATGTTATACTCATACTTTAGTCTTTTTTCTGTATTGATACTCGACTCCGTCCATTATTTTTATTTCTATACACATCTTGATATAATCGTTATAGTTTCACTTCGAAATATATTGAAGATATTAGAAAATGGGTGGTTGAAATTTGTTTAGAAAATGAATATTTTTAATTTATTAGGATATTTTTTAAGAATAAATTAAAATGAAAGTAGGACGACTACTTCAAGATGGAAAAAGTATATGTCTAGGCCACCAAAGTTGGTACGATCACGTAAGAATTATGTAGGTGTTTCTGAGTGTTAGTGCTTATTGACTTGTTATTAATAAATTATTTTTATATTTATTTCATGAATGTAAAATGACTTAAATTATACATAAGTCAATTAGGCATACTCAAAAAGGTAAAGGTGATGGTGTAAATTACCTAACCGGGTAAACTATACTAAACAAGGTCTAGAATCGTTTACTTGATTCGATAAAGTAAAAAGGTAAAAACACGCAAAATGACCGGGAGGACTGTAGGTGGAAACACCTATAGCCCAATTAATATTATAACAGAGAATACACAGAAGCTTTTACAAGCGAGTTTAGAGAGAATGAATTCCCGAAACCCTTCCTTGAAGGTTACAAGAGTATATATACTAAGTTTGAAGGGGACAGGACGTCGTGCACCCACGTTAAGGCACGTTCTTGGATGGTGGAAGGTGATGGCCTTCGTCCTTTAGCTGCTTTGTCATCTTGCGAGGGAGATCATTCCTTTGTCAGGTAGCGCCTAGGATGGAATGTTCGGACATCTCCAGCGATTCTCCACTGATCTTGGTCACTACGGTCCAAACCACTTTGGATTCTTCTCTTTCGACACTCTCCATCCTCAGAAACCGTACCGGGTAATTCCTAAGGGATGTGTTAACTGATATTGAGGGATGAATTAGACGACGAAATGGTTTGACCGGTATACTATCCGAAGTATACCAGTCAACTTTCTGATCAACCAGTCATCCTCTTAAAGACGATTGAAATCTTCTCTCAAGAATAATCAATTTGACCGGTCAAACATTCGGACATTCCCTTTGACCGGTTCTGGGTGGAAAACACCGATCAAAAGGAATAATAATCTAAGAAAAAGGATAAAAGACATAACTTGCTTAAAAATATAAGTAATGTCTACTTATTTTTTCTGGCTCTGAAGCAACTTATAAGTCAATTTATAATACAGAGAAAGATGTCATCAGCTGACTTATTAGTTAAAATCAATTTATAAGCTATTATAAACTCTTTTTCTTGTGAACACTATTAGTGATGATATGATGAATTAGGCTTTTGTTGTCACAAAAAAATGAGTTTATATGTACACAAAAGCACCATTATATGGACGAGTTAACTTGGTCTTGAAGTTAGTTTTGCAAAGTAAAATAAAGAGCTTTTAATTATGGTGTCCAATTCTATTGCAAAAGTGCTCAAGTAATTAACCAACTCATCCATACATATAATCCGAGCTTCTCATCTTATTAACTACAGACTCTACAGTATTAAAGAGTGAAACACATGGAAATGTTTAAAGGAGAAAGATCAAAATAGAACTAAAAATTGAACATATACTAAATAGAACTTTCATATTTTTATTCTTGAAATAGGACTTACATTACCAAACATGATCATGTACATTACCAAAAAAGTATAGTAATGTGCACATGTAAAATGTCACATTACCGTGCAAAGTCATATCCTATTTCAGGGAAAAAACATGAAAGTTCTATTTTGGTACTTTTTTCTAGGTTTTAGTCCCTATTTAGGGTGATTTCTACAAATAAAATGATCACAAATATCACAAGCTGATGATTTGTGAATTAAATTTCAAGAATAAAATAGTCTAAAATATTTAAATGGTGAAAATTTAATACAAAAATAGTAAAACTTATGATGTTTTTGAAAACTTTGTTTGTGAGGGACATGGTGACTTGTGAGTTTTCATTTGCTACCATAACCCTTGAATAAAAAAGATCGAAAAAAATTTAAATTTAAAAAAATAAATTTGTTGATTTTAAAAAATAAACTTTAACCACTCGCGAGATTAGACCTAGGTCTTTTTATGTTCATATGCCTGCATTTAAGAGTTATAATTTCTGTTTTTTTATCCTTTTGAGACTAACATTTTACTTTAATTACCAGCTAAAGTCACGTAGGTAAAAATATGCTAATTCAACAAAACCACGGTGGCAAGTATGAAATGGGTAGGCCTATATATGCTCCTTTCCCACTCCTACAAAACTTATAGGAGTAACTCTTACTAGTGTAAATTTGTCCATACTAAGAGTCCGTTTGGTATGCGGAGTTGATGGAATTGAAATTGAATTAAAATTAAAATTCTATGAAATTCAATTCTATAGAATTGAATTCATCAATTCTAATTTATTTTTTGCACTGCCAATTCCAAATTTACGTAATTTTTATGCTACCAAAACGAGCCCTAAGTTGTTTTTTTTGTTCCCAACTACTTTGACTTTGGGTTTTAATTTGTTTCATGAATTTTTACTAATCAATTACTCTAAAAAAGAACTCTAATATGGCACTTTAGAATACTTGACGAAAACTATTTTCATTCGAATTTATTTCAATGTTTGTATAGAACCATAATACACAAACTTTATACATTTAAAAGTTATATCAAAAGTTCTATAAAGAGTAAGTTACATTCTGATATTATTCTGACAAATAAGCAAAGGAAATACGCAAAGAAAAAGAATAAAATCTGATCATGTCATTAGTAAATATAAAGATTTTTCAGACTGATAAAGAGAAAACTTGCGGCATATGTTAAAAGTTTAAAACAAAAATGGTAAAAAAGGGACTAATTTGACTCAATGTTGTTATGAGTCGTTATTATGTTGGACATTTAATAAGAAAAGATTTGATAATTATAAATTCAAAACTGAAGAGATATGACTTTTGAAATGATACATCAATTAATGAAGGAAAATGCTAGGGTACACCAAAAGTGTATCCCAAATATCCCCCACCTCCTCCATCACCACACAAAAAAAGCAAGAAAATTTCAAAAAAAGGTAAAAAATAAAAAGAATAAAATGAATGGTGTAGAGGCAAGTGGTGTACATTTGGGTTACACCTTTGGTGTACCCCTAGCATATCCCATTAATGAAACACTGCAACGTAAATGTTGATAATGCCGGGGGGCGTCACCGGCCTTTTAACGCCGGTCCGACGTTAAACACCATCCCCTCATGCGTTATACTGAGGCTACGTCAAATGTTTTACCGCACGCTGCCCCCTCCCTTTAACCGACTATATAGCCGTTAGGAATAAAAAAGTTATTTTTCTCCCTCTTTCTTCCTCTTTCCTTCTCTATAAATTCAATCAATTTTTCAAAAATTCAAGACAAATACAAATCTCTCTCTATCTATATCATCTTTCTTTAGAAAATTTTTATTCAAGCATTTTATTTATTTTTATCATTATTCCCTCGGGTTCCTCTCCGGCCAGTCTCGAACCAAACGAGTATGCGATGTGGCTCTTCCGAACGTACGGGAATAATCCGTCATTTTTTGAAACGCAAACCTCGGTGAACTTCAAGGACCCGGAGTCGGTTCCGGAGACTCAACTGGAACCAAGTGCACCAACCGAAACCAAAAAGTGCACACCAGAAGAATCACAAGGCGACAAGCAGTGACCGATGCGGCACGATCATTTCAAAAGTGGATGTTGGATCGTTGTTGGCATCGGCTTGGGTTGACGTCTCCGAGCATTCTATCGTTGGTAAACTACTGGTTCGACCAATAAACCAGTGAATCAATATCTTTACCGGTTTGGTCACTGGTACGGTTCTGAAAACTATGTTTGTAAGGGGCTGTTTGGCAACTTCTGAATGGGTAAGTGCTGAACCAGTAAGAGGTCTGAATCATTAAGTGCTGAACCAGTAAGAGGTCTGAACCATTAAGAGCTAGTATATTGCTTAACTATTCAGAGGCAAATGTCTGATCAATTCAGATAACAACTCTTAACCATTCAGACTCTGTATAATACTTAACCATTTAGAGGCAAATCTCTTAACCATTCAGACATCTGAACCATTAAGAGGCTGAAACAAACAGTCTGAACCATTAAGTGCTGAATCATTCAGACATCTGAACCATTAAGAGGTTGAAACAAACATCCCCTAAGTTAGTTATAGAAGATAAATTCGCTCCATTTTAGATGCGTTGGACCCCCACCAGCACACGGGCAACTAAAACCCTGCTTTAATTTTATTCATAATAATAATAATAATTTCATAATGTCATACTCCCTTCGTCCCTAAATATTTGCAACATTTGCTTTTTCAGCATCGCGGGAACTTTTGTTTATTTCTACATTTTCATTGGTTATTTGATAAAATAAAATATTCTTGACACTTCTTATTTCGAAGAACTTTTCATGTAGGTTTTTGATATGTAAATTTTATTTTTTATTTCTATACCAATTTGTAAATAAAATGAATTGAAAACACTTGATATTTTACCTCGGGAATACAAGTGTGACAAATATTTAGGGACGGAGGGAGTACAATGATACAACTCAGTGAATTAAGACACATCTTATAAGTACATATACATATTATTATTATTATTATTATTATTATTATTATTATTATTATTATTATGCATACCAAATTATCAGTGTTGCTGCTGTGGTTTGGCCTAACCATAATTTATAATTACATGTATATTTATATACTAGCTTGGCACACACTTTGTGTGTGAGTGCCCAAACTTCTTGTGTTAGTGCCCATACAAGTATATGATAATCATACCACTTAGGAAGATTGAACATAGTGCCTATATCATATCCATATTATGTAATCACAAAGATAGGGAGTATTTTACAAAAAAATGAAGTGATCACCTACACTCCATTTATGATATTTGGCTAACTTAAGAGTTCTAACTTAGGGATTGTTTTACAAAAATTGAAGTGATCACTTGCACTTCATTTCTAATATGTACCAAACTGACATAAGGCCTCTCCTACTGAGTTGGGACAATTATATTTTACAAGAACAGTAGGAATAGAGATTAGAGTCAAAAAAGTTTTCAAGCTGTGTAAACATTAGCTAAGCCTTTTTTTTGTGGACGTCCTCTTCAACTTTCAGCTTTCTCTTTAGACTTGGTGCGCTTCTTTGCTTCTTAGAGAGACTTTAGAGGCTTAGTAGTGAGTACATGTTTGATGTATTTGTTTCGTAAGTGCCTGAACTTGGTTTGATCGCAGCAATGACAGTGACTGGTAGAAGGGCCCGGTTCAGTTCGATTGATGAATTGTGACGCGTTGTTAGTGACAGTCCTGTTTGTGTATGTAATAGAGAATCAGTTTTTTAAAAATATTTAGAATTTAAAATGAAATACATGTTTGTAAAAAGAACTCCAAAGGTAAAAAGCCATAAACAGTTCTAGATATATAAAAATGCAGTAGGCCTGTAAACAAACCAAAACTATAAAGTGGAAAAAGACTAAATTTGATAGAGTATTTGTGTGCATAACAAAGGTGGGGTTTACCTTGGAAGGAAGTCGCCAGTATCCAAGTACCTGATTTGAGTCCCTTTTCGATTTCAATGCCCTGAATGCTTGCGAGTTTGTCCCACATTGTTAGAGTGATTGGCTTGCATCTACGTGATCAGAAAACTGTCAACGGCATGTGAAGGCATAAAGTATGTTTGTAGAAGTTAAATTTTCTAGACATATGTCAAAGAGGAAAAGATTTTCATCTGGAATGGTATATGACTCACAGTTTTACAATTATGACTCACAGTTTTACAGTGTATGTTTTGGACATAAATATGTAATTCTAAAAAATATAATACGAAGCGCTTATTACACATGTTCATTTTTTCTACATGTTCAATTTCACTACCCATTACAAATAGTAGGTATCTGAATGAGGACAGTGGGTCGAAGTAAACGCATAAGTATGAAAGCGTACTTCCAGATGTGACTTCACCTGGGAAAAAATAATGCATGTTGTGTATTACTTTAGGCAGGGTTCAGGGTACAATATGATGATCTGAATTCTGTTAATTTGAGGTATAATGATTTGATCTGTTTTGTGTTAAATTCAGGCTTCATATACGTAAGCAGGTTGATATAAGGTTAGACAGGTGCATCATATAGGAGACAGTTTTTACCATCTCCTTGAAATATATGCATTAAGTCTGATTTCTGCTCAATTCAGTTTTTATATCTTCCAAATTAACTCCACCTTTTGGGTTGTCTAATACGGAGTATATTTCTATTAGAGATATAATTTGATATCTCCTTGAAGTTATGTAGTCTGCTGCTACGTCTCAGGAGTGGGACAAATTGAAGTCGTAGGTATAGTTGACCATAGTAGTATGGTGAATGGAATATTTGTGACCTCTATTATAGCCTTAACTAATATGGTGGTTCTCCTTTTATCAAGGAAAAACAGGTAGAGGTACGAAGCGAGCTATCGAAGAGCTATATGTTATATTACTATTATGTTATTATGTATGCGGGGGAGGTTGGATAACCGATTGGCATCTTCCTCGCTCTCGTAGTAGGTTCGGTCTGGTGCAGAGCCTTCCAGTCCACAGCAAGAGTTATAGTTCTTTCTTTTCAGTTTGCTTTAACCAATTTATGAGAATCATATCATTAAATAGGAAGTAATGAGGTATGAAGTGACTTGACCGATAAGGATTTGATTGAACCTGTTTAACCTATAAGCATCAGTATAGTTTAGATGATGAAGGAACAAACAAGTTAGGCTACGTAATGAAAGAGCCCGTAACGTGTAACATTTTTATGAATTTATACTCTCTGGCTATATTGGGTATTTGGGTGCATCTAGCTCTAATGCGGTAGAACATACTGACGAGTTAGGTTTCAATAAAGGCAAATATTAGATGATGGGATCAGGACTGGAGGTCGCCGCCCTCCAATAAGCGTGGCAGAGGCAGTATTCATTATACGAGTATGAATGAAGTCATGAGTGAGGACAGAATTACAAATAAGCATGCCAAAATGTTTTAAAAATTCAACTTGGTAGTCGTGCAGTAGGTCAAATAAGCACGAAACCGAGTCTAGCAACCTTTTTACCCAGGTTTCCCTAAGGTGTTGATCGGCGTCATCTGTTCTCCTTATATAGTCGCTTATGTTCATCATCATTTTTCAAAGAAATGGCGGCTAAAAGGGGTAGATTTGGGGAGGGTGTCAGCGAGGGGGTAGAAGTTATATTACCACCGGAAGAGGAGACCGTAAGGAATGATTGAATCATCGTATTATCTAACCTGTTTAAATCATCATAGGTTATATGTTCCCAGGTACCTTTGGGAACATATTATCTAACCTGAAAAATATCTAAGGAAGCACTCCTCAAAGCTCAAGAAGTATATGAAAATGACCCTAATATCGAAAACAGAGAAGCTGATAATAAAGCAAGAGGCAATCTCATAATGGCCTATGATAATGACCCAAGCTATTGGAAGCAGAAAGTCAATCAAAAACAGATGGAGTGACGTTTGGACTGGCTCTGCCACAACCCCTCCTGGTGGAGGGATCATGGTGGTTTTTTGATGATTTGTAGCTGGAAAGATGTTTAGATTTTAGATTATGGTTTAATTTGAAAAATTGGCAGCAAACACTTGACCTGCTGATGTTGGATTAAGCACCAATGCTATGTTTCTTTCCCAGGAATGGCAACCAAATTAAACCACATAGCTGTCCACATTATTATGGCTTTTTGACCCCTTATAAGATGGAATTGAAAAAGAATGAATTTATTATTATGATGATTATTACTCTGTATTACATTATTAGTATAATTATTGGCTTCACCTATTTGCTTTTGACCCCACACACACATACAAAAACTAAATCCCTTTTTTTTCCAACAATTTATTTTTAAACATGCATTGTAGGTACTTAGACAGGTTTTTTCTTCTTTGTTTTTTTAAATATAAAGATGCCACGCTTTATCAAGTGAATATCCTGCCAATCTTTCTAATCCCCTCCTCCTTAAATGGACCAAGTATCCGGGTAATCCAGTTATTATTCCTCCACCCGCCTTTGGTCTGTTGGAGTTCAGGGACCCGACTACGGGTTGGGCTGACCAGAAAAATGGCAACTGGTTTCTAACTATAGGGTCCCAGCTTAATAAAACAGGATGGATTCCTGCATTGGGTTCCGGGTACAGGTATGTGGGATCTGGCAAATCCATTAATCGATCGAGTATCAAGCATGTCATCAAGAGCCTTCATACACCACTCATTTTGAGTAAAAAAATGGATAAGAAAGGACTTTTTCAAAAATGCAGTAAATAAAAGAGCATTTGAAATAGAAGGAATAATCAATTGAAATTTTAGAAAAATAAAAACATCAAACACCAACCAACAAATCCAAAACTAAAAGTCACATACACATAGAGGCAGAATTGATTTTCTAGATTTTCACACTGCACGAGCTACACTTTTAAAAAAACATTTATGAACATAACTTGACAAAGATATCATAATTTACAGCTAATAAGTTAACATTAAAAGGTATAATTGAAGTTAGAAGCAATTATCTTCTTAAGCATCATAAAACGGTAAAGAGGAAGATCATGGAAGCTAGAAAACTACAGCTTCTAAGTTCTAAGTGATTTAACCACCAAATTACCATATACTCCCTATTCTGTGATAAATCTCAAAATAACTTTTACCACACAAAAATCATAAAATGGTTAGAAAGCTGCAGTTTCTATGCCAAAGGTTTTAATCCTAGCTTTGATTTGATTTAATTATAAAATTACCCATTGCATGTATAATTTTTGTTCATATTAGGAAAGCCTTTTATGTTGGGCAAATTTTTTGAAGTAGGAAGAATTGAAATTTGGGCACCCACGCACTTTGTCATCGCACTACTAGCTGTGAATTTGTAGGAAGAATTGAAATTGAAGTAGGAAGAATTGAATTAGGAAGAGGGGAATACCTGCGAAGTTGAAGAACGATATCCGTACCGGAAGAAGAAACTGTAGGAGGATAAGAATATAATACTCTGCGGGGAAGAAGCTTAGATCGTGGGCAGTGGGCGGCGAGAATGGCCGGGATTCATGGTGAAAATTGATTTAAGAGGTGAGGTGAGAACCGGCTGTGGGGGGGAGGGGGGGTGGTGCAGGAATGGGCATTAACAATTCATCAATGTAATAATTAGAAAAAATAAGAGACGGAAACTAAGCGGAAGTTAACGGAAAACAAACGGAAAAAAGTCGAAGCTAACACCCTTAGACTCTTATATAATTAGGGAGATATGCCTGGCTTTGGATATGATTGAACATATTGTGGCTGTGGGTAAAGGGGTATTAGACTATTTTAGCCGTGGGTATTTGGTTGAGCAGTGGCATCATCCATTGCCTCACCCTTGTAGTGACAACACCTTAGGCATCCTCCTCCGTGGATTCGGCGGATCCGGTGGCAGCAACCCCATGGACACGCCCTTCCTCCCCACGTGTCCGGAAGGCGGGCCCCATCTCCCACCCCGGGGTGACTCCCGTACCTAACTCCAACGCCGGAAAATCCATTGTCCACACACTTCTCATCACCCTCAATCTTATTCTTATCCTCGCCCGCTTCCTTTAATGCTATAATTAATTTCAAAAATAAAAAATAAGGTATAGCATGAACACACACATCTATATATTGAGGAGTGAAGTGAAATCAAACTTACAATCGGGCTGTGAAGGTGCGGTGTCAGCTTGTTCCGGGCTAGCAGCAGCAACTTGGGAGGCGATCATGAAGAGATATATAGACAAAGAAAGACAGAAAAATGAGTTGATGTTTAGCAGCCATACTTAAAGGATGGATGATGATGAAGGGTGAGAAAAGCCATTGCAATGCTTATATAGTGCAAGGATGAGGAGGCTAATTGGTGCAAGCCATAGACCATACACATGAAGCTATAAAATTAAAGAGCTTTCAAGAGAGCCCATCCCCATCCCTTATTCCTTCCAATTCATCTACCCTTTCAAACTGGTTTTGAAATTATATCTATAATCAATCATCCATATCATAAAGAATGGACTTTCTTGCGCGTCGCTAAGGTGGTTTTTTTTGTCGTTCTATTCTAATAAGATACACAAAACAATTCACAATATAAATACCTAAGACTAAGGTGCAAACTTAAAGGGTCCGTTTGGTATACGGAATTGATGGAATTGGAATTGAAATTCCATGGGATTCAATTCCATAGAATTGAATTCTGCCAATTCTAATTCATTTTTTGCACTATCAATTCCAAATCCACATAATTTTTGTGCTACCAAATACTAGAAATGGAATTGAAGTCCTCAATTCCAATTCCATATTTTGAATTCCGTGTACCAAACGGGGCCAAAGAGTGCAAAGCTTCCAGTCTGGAAGTATCTGCCAATTTAAATACCTTCATTTTGTAAACATGGGATACAAAAACCAGTTCTATTTCTTATCTTCCCAGAGAGCCATCCTATGATTTCTTTCTTCAGACTGCCCCATCTTCAGACTGTATTAATGATTCAACAGGTCTGATCCTTCTCTTTTCCCGGGTTGCCATTTTCTCTCCATACCTTTGAAATATATCGGCTAAATCAAAGGAACCGACCTCTCTCAGTTTCTTGGCCATCGCCTCAAACATAACCTCCCCTTCCTCATTCGAGTAGCAGTGCAAAAACTTGTTGTAATCAAACCTCGGAACCTCAACCTTCTGGAACGTCAGTCTCTCTGCATATTTCGTCGCCTCCAACATCTTCCCTGCCTTAACCAAACCTCCCACAAAAATGGTGTCAAAGTTAACTATTGGGTCCCGCTCTTTCCTCCCTCTCTTCCCCAAGTGCCCCTGCAACAACATTATGTAAGTGTGCATTATAGGCTCGCAACCTCTAGCAATCATCTCCCTAAACACCTGTGTTGCTTCACCTGGCCTTTTCAGCCTCAGCAGCCCTTTGATCATCCCATGAAACACTGCTATATCTGGCTTCTCGATCCCACCCAGCACCCGATAAGCCTCCATCACCCTTCGTTTGCAAAGGAGCCCGTAGATTATTGAAGCTGATGTTGAATTGTCCAGCTCAATCCCTCTCTTTTGCATTTCCTCAACCAACACATAGCTCTCCTCAATCTTGCCTTTCTTGCACAGCCAATTGATCACAAGCCTGTAAGTAGGCAACCCCAAATCATCCATCCTGCTTGTTCTCATGGACTGTAGAAGCTTCAATGCCTGCCCATATTCGTTGGTCTTGAACAACCGCTCCATCATCGTCTCGATTGACTCGATATCTGCCTCAAAACCTGCATCAATCATTAGATTCCAGATCTTGGATGCATCAATTGTATCACCCACATTGCAAAAGCCATAGATTAGCCATCTATAAGTCACCACATTGGGTTCTATCCAATCTTTCAACTTCATCACCACATGCTTAGCTTCCGCCACTAGCTTACCCCTGCAGAGAGCCTCCACTGCCTTGTTCAAAGAATCCACACTATACCCGTACCCGAACCGGTTCATCATGTGAAAAACTTCGACGCATTTCTTCAATTCTCTAGCCGAAGCTAGGGTTTTCAAAGCGATCACATACGTTTTCGGGGTTACTGAGCGGCGGCTTCCTATCTCCTGGAGGAATTCCCAGAAGAGGTCAATGTTCCTAGACTTCCCTATTATATCGAGCACCTTGTTGAGGGTAACGGGGGTGTGCGAGAATTCGGGTCGGGTCATGGCAAACTCGTGAAGCTTGTAAACGGGTCTCCATGAGTAGGGGAACCTGTTGCAGACCTGGAGGAAGAACTCGTGGGTGAGTTCGAAGGGCGTCTTGCGAAGGCTGTTGTGGAGTCTCTCGCCGGAGTGTTGTTGCTGGTAGAGAATCGTGGACACTCGGAGGATTTGGGCTTCGTCGACGGCTGTGGTTGGGTTGGGAGGGGTTGATTCGGAAGGGGAGACGGCGGCAGCTGTGGTTGATGTTCGGTGGAGGAGTCGCCGGCGGCATAGAGGGAGCAGAGATATGAAGAAAGACTTGCTTGCCGTATGTCTCCACATGTTGGTGGGAAATCCAGATTTGACAGGAATCTATGGGTTTAACAAAAAAAAAATGCACCCAAGAACCTGGGTTTAGCTAGACCTGGCAAGAAGCATAATCAATTAACCGAATCGAATTATCCAAAACCAAAATCTAAAGAATCCGAAAATTGAAAATTTGATCTATAACCAAAAACTTAGATTGATCCAAACTGAATTGAAGCGGAACTAAATCATTCATATTCTATTTAAATCTAAAATCGATTATATCCGAATTGAATAAACTCGAAATTGATAATATCTGAAACAAATAATATCCGAAACTGATTAGAACTAAAAATGATAAAATCTAAAATTGTGTTTGCCTTTCAATAAGCATATTATTTTTTTCAATATCACACAAATGTTCTTCAAGTTAATCTAGTGATAATATAGAATTTATCATCCATTCAACTCTTTCAAAAACCTTCCCTTAGTGTCTGCCTACCATTATGGTACCTTGCCAATTTATCTTAATTTAAACTCATTAAGCATCTGCTCCAAATAATTACCACATAAATGAAGATTCAAAAACCAATATAAAATGATTTGTTCTCATAATCAAAAGTATAGCCACCAATTCGATGCACTTTGCATATTAACTAGAGCTGCAGGCTCTTTTGTGGCTAATGATGTTCAACATAACCTATATATTATGTCCATAATATAATATATGGACGAATATCATAAACTTCATATTAATAGTTGATGGGCCCAATCAATTATCCTTAAACAATTTTTAAATATGTATGAAATGAATCTTAAGTTTCATTAGTAATAATCTCATAATAATCTTCTAATGAGAAAGACTATAGGATCTTCTGGTCCTAATACTAAGAGAAACTTCTAGTCCTTCAAATATTACTCACTTGAGTTCTTAGTGATTTTTTTCTTCACATCATAAACTAAATCGTGATAATTTAATTGGTTATGTTTAATATAAAAATTGGTTCAGTATAATAAACTTCTGGGTTACGTGAAAACAAATCTCGATCAAGTGTCATGTAATATTCATTTCCACTGGTATCTTAAACATTAATAGAGACACCTTAAACAATAAGGATTTGTCTATACCTAATAGAATATTCGTCAATGCAAGACAATAACTATTCTCTCAAAATATTCAATATTTATGAAACTTTTATTACTTCTATTATGCAGCTCTTATTATGCAATCCTCTTCTGGAGCTATCTATAAGTTTTGTATAACAAGAAAATTATATTTGCACTAACTTCTTTAATCACAAGTGAAAAAATCTCTTGCATCTAAAAAAAATATAGAGAATATAAATATGTATAATCACTCCTTTGATTATAATATGTCCACTACATCATTCTTTAGGAATATTGATGAGGAATCATATATAGATTACAAATAAGAACTTGGAAAATATTTTATCCCTAAAAAAATAAGCCAATTCGGGTGATAATTAGACATTGTAATGGTGAATTTTCTTTAGGTAGTACCTCATATACTATATATTGTGTTTGATGAACATGATGAATCTTATTTAATTTAGGAGATTATACATCTTAATGATTTCTTTTTCAGAATTCAATATTCTTCAGGAATATTGAGATTGAAATAGTCCATGTTAAAAAATGTAATTCTATGTGACCATAATGGTGACCTTGATATGTCCATATGTATAACCACAATAGTTTTGACAACCTATTATATGCATGCATGTCAATCAATTTTTTCCCGCTTGCTTCAGGATTGAATGTGTAACATGATTTTTTTTAAAAAAAAAATCTTTCCTAACAATTGAAAAAAAATGTAACCAAATATTGAGTACATGAATTTTTTTTCTTACACGACCACTTTAGGGGAAATTAGGTTCTCAAATACTATTTTGTAATCTCAAACCGTATAACATGCAATTACCTATATTGGTCACACAAGTTTTATTGCAACTTAGTAATTCGCATTAAAATATAATATCATTGTATAAGGAGAAAATGCCTTGAACAATTTGTTTAAAAAAATCATAAGACGATTTTACTTCTGAAAAATGACAAATGCATGATTTAAGAAAATCTATTTTTTTATTTTCTTTGAGAGATTATGGACTTAAGAATAAATATCAAACTTGATTTACTTTGGGGACAAAATTTGACACTTCAGTTGAAGTTCTCTTTGATATGTCATATACTCCGTATTTGTTATATACGAATCATCAACAGCATTAATCACATTTGGGATCAAGTAATAAAATATGTACTTTTTCACAAATCTTTCATACCAAAGTACAAAAATATAATCAAATATGGAGTGTATAGAATCTTTAACTTTCACTTTTTAGCCTTCGTCCTTATTGTTGCAGATATATCGAGTTCGAAAAAATAAGTTTTAAAAGGTTTGACATTTTAACTACCAACAAAATGTATAGAAATACACTCCTGGAGAACTTCATGTACTAATGTGCAAGAACGGATGGAGAGAAAAACAAATGTTAATGCAAAAAAATTTATAGCAATATAGTTCTGTTCTTTGATAACATACTCAGCATGACACTTTGAAAATTTATTCAAAATTTGCAGGCTTCAAAACATACTCAAGGAAATTGATTTCTTCCAAACACTCCTCAATGTCTCTCATATGCACAATGGAAATTGATTTCGTTCCCATGTTACAAGGAAGAAATAAGAAAACTGATGTTTTATTATACAGATTTTGATATTTATGTTGTTGCAGGACCAAAAACACCTAATGGGACTTCACACCTCTGCTTTGCAGGTTGTCTTGGAAAGCACCCAAGAACCTGGGGTTTAGCTAGAGTTGGCTATTAATGCTTAATTTTAAAAAGACATGGAGTCAATATTTTGTTTTTCCGCTCGAAAACTATGTCCATTACATATGGTCATGTGAAGTTAAAATAGTAAGTGTTCGAAATTATAGTAATATATATTTTACGTTTTATAATTATAATTATTACTCCGTATATTATATTTATAATAATTAACTCTCATAATTATTTCAAATTAGCATTTTTAAAAGGGAGAAAAAATCAAAATAGCACTCTTAGAGCTTTAAAATATTCTAAATAACAGTGTTATATGTTTTGTACCTGTGATTCCAATTTTGTCATTTAATTAAACAACAAATATTCATTACACACTGCCAAAAAATGATTGTTCTGGGCAGTGTGGTTGGTCACTTGTAACTGTGTAGTGGGCAGTGTGGTTTTTTATATGTGAGTATTTAAAGTGACAGTGTAGATTGAATATATTTATTGTTATTATATCTTACGGCAGTGTGTAAGTGTATTGTTGTGTTCTTTAATATCGTGTTGGGGCGTAATGTTCATTGATTTATATGGCAGTGTTTTCATGTATAAATTTGACACTGTCAAAAAGTGTATGATTATTTTCGTGTATGAATTCCACACTGCCCAAAAAATGTATAGCTTTTTTTATGTATGAATTATACACTGTTTTCATGTATGAATTCCATACTGCCCAAAAATGAATTACACCAAAACACATTGCCCAAAAATATGACAGATTTCATGAATAATCTATTACACCAAAACACACTGGCCAAACATGGGCGTTAAATATGGAACTTAATTTAATACATATGAACTTATTTAGGCATTATACATTGATAAACTGCGTAGGAAGGAGATCTTGCAAAGCTATGGTAAACAACGTAGGATGATGTTCTCGTACGTATGAGACGCACGAATGAGGAGGAGCCACATGTACGAGGAGGAGTGGCTATGTGAATAACCTTAGGTAGTGTATGACAACTATCTTTTCATTTCAATTCATAAATTTCAATTCCAAAATTTGAAATCTTGAATTTCAAAATGACAAGAGGAGTGCATAGATTTCAAATTAAGCTTTATTATGAATGATGAGAATTTGAACCAAATCCAAATCCAAATTTTTTAAGTTTTCCTAACATGGAATTTGAACCAAATCCGGATTTGAAATCCAAATCTACGTTCCCAAACACACCATAAGTTTAATCAAATAATTAAAAGTAATTAAAAATAGTAAAATATAATAAAAGGCAAACGATATGCTTGGAAGATATTGACACTATAAATAGCTAAATTCGTATAAAATATTAAGAAGTGCTATGTGCATAATATTGAGTGACTTAGAGTGCTACGTGGAGTGATTTCTTCTTTTTAAAATAAGGAAATAAATATCCGAAAATTACCATTTTTAAAAATTTTCTCATTTAATGATAAAAATTTAAATATATTATATTTAATAAAATTGGTTATTATTAAAAATAGTAATAATATAGACCGACGTAATTACGAATTCAATAAAAAAGGTAATTTCTAGATTTTTATTTCCTTACTTTAAAAATTACTCCCTCCGTCCCAAAAAGATTTACACCTTTTAAAAAAATTGCGTCCCACAATCTCCTACCCATTTCTATTAAAAAACCACTTTTACTCCTTATTTTTTCAAACCTACCTATCACATCATACCTTTTTACTAATAATATACACATCACATCCTACTTTTACTCATCACATCAAGGGTATTTTTGGAAAGCCAACACAAAATTATCCCTCCCTTAATTTCAACTTTAGTCAAAACGTGTAAATCTTTTTGGGACGGAGGTAATATAATTTTAGTCTTAATTTTTTTTTCCTTTAATGATAAAAATTTAAAACTATTATATTTAATAAAAACTGATTATTATTAAAAATGGTAATAATGTAGACCGAATAATTACGAATTAAATAAAAAAGGCAATTCATTAACACTGATTATTATTGATAGGCAAAAATTATTTATAAAAAAATATTTATAAACTTTAATACACGCCAATCAATTCTATTAAAAACGTGCGTATGATTATTCTTACCATAATTATATAATTATATGATTACCGTGTGACTAGGTTATATAAAAACGTGTGTATGATTATAGTATAATATAATTATGGTAAGAATAATTATACACACAGTTTCAAAAAAATTAATACGGTAAACCCTTAAAATATTTATATTTATATTTATCTTTAATAGCAAGAAAGGTAATAACCAAAAAAATGTAATAATTATTACTCCGTGCAATTATTACCTA